TCCTAAATATTAACAACGTGAAATTACGAACACTCATTAATGCCATTATACCCACTTTATAGGTTAGTGATCATTCAGATTCAGAAGTACACTAGATAGCCCTTCGGTATTTAAAGCGAAAAGTACTGAGTTCTAGTTTCAGTATGGACATCAAAGCTAAAACCGAGGGATATCGAACAGACGAGTTAAAAATGAGAAGAATCTTATATTCTGAATTCTAGCCTTAACTACAATCCAACCACTTAATTTTTCATTAAAAGAGGTTTGATCATTAAAAAACTGTAAAATTCAAAGAAATAAATGCAATATACAAACTATTTGTGTGTGGGTTGCGGGATTTTATTTAGATAAATTGTTATAACTCAATGTACTAGCCTATAATGGTGACCACTTGTGACTATAAAACAATTCTATAGTAATGACTATCGATGTTGCATTGTGTAAGGTCATTCTTCTGGGGTGGTTGATAAATAGCAGATGCTGAACAGAAATTTTCTCAAAGAATTTTAATAATCTTCTCTCATGAAGAATCCAGATATTGAGGTTATATAAAGACCAGTAGAATATAAATTATAAAGCTCTATACTTTGAGCGGCAATAGAATGAATAAGCTTAATGAATCTCCTATATATATATATATATATATATGCCTACTAAAATATTTGCGCCATCTATTTTCCAACTGTACAAGTATTGCAATGAATCGTCTAGATTTAGGTACATTAGTTCTGACTGATTATAAATGTACTCATACACTATTATACAAGGCTTACAAATTAGTGTGATCTTAGTTACTAGATGTGTTAAATGGGATATATTCATCATTGTTTATCCTTCGTAAAAAAAATAAAAGAGAGACGAATTCATTGGAATAACTACATCTATTATAACAAAGTTAATTATAAAATGAATTATACTATACAGAATAGATTAGAATTCTTTAAAAGAAAATTAAATGTTTTAATTAATCACTGAGCTCTCTTGACTGTTCATTAACAAGAGAAAAAAGAGATTCATTAATCATTTTAAGGACAGATTTCTTTATATTCGATTTTGTTTTCTAAACACTCTATTTGTTTTCTTAAAAAAATAATACTTAACTATCTTTCATATCATTTGACAAACTTCTCTGTTTACTTAACAGTTCGTATGTAAAAAAAAACTTTGTAAAAGCAATCGAAAGAATTCCCAAAATGATCCTTAAAAAAGTCAAATTATTTGGAAAGTGAAACCTTGGCAACCAAATCATTGTTGTGGTAATAGTAATAATAGTAATAATAATTTCACTTAAAATTCTATGGATATATATACACATTGTTATATGAATATATCATCATATTCCAAACTAATTCAACTTGGTAACACAGAAAAGAGAACAATGGAGGAATTAGATATCATTAGGGTGATGGAGAAAAAAAAGAAAATCATTCTACTTTACTATTTATTAGAAGAATAGAAAAAAGAAGGAAGTTACAATAAAAGTTAGATGCTTCCTTTCTAATTCATTCACTTTTATTATTGTGTAACATGAATACTGAACTTAATACATTGTTGAAATAATTTCTATTCATCTTTGTATATCCCAAAGTTTTTGATTGATTCCTACCATATTTCAGTTCGATTAGCTTCTTTATTTTTTTACCATTCCATATGGTCGTATTTGCTGTGAAATTTGAGCTAACTCTTAATTTTTTTTTAACATAAAGTCATTCAATTATTCATTCATTAGACTAGTAAGTTGCTACACAAATGAATTAAATGAATAAAGAAGAATATCTTATTTTTCTAATGATTGAATCATTATTATTTCTTTAGTTGTCATCTTTACAATAAAGTAGAAATCGAAAATTGTTTTATGAAAATCTTTATAAATTTTGTTTTTATTACTAAATAATAATCTATGAGATCGTTTTTGGAAAATAAGGAGTATTAAACAGCTGTCTTACCATAGTATAGGACTTATTCAGCATTATACACTTAAAACCCTATTGGTAATTGAACTCAAGAATATACTACCAATTAGGTACTAAATAGAATCTAACAATCTTCTTTCCTAAATTTAGTTATTTCGAGATATATTGCCATCATTAGCTATACGACCAACGAAACTCGTCTCATTTCTGACCCTGATAAAATTTATTGTATCTATCAACACTGGGCTCATTCATTCACTACAAATTATATGATTAAATTATTATTCACTTATTGATGGTACCATAATTCAAAATGAATGATTATAAAATCTAATAGGATGCAGTTACCTGATAGATCAATTAACTAGGGGATTAGTATATTTGATTGAAATAGGGAAATATATATAGTTTAGCTCTAACTTAGTGATTCATTCATAATTTACAGAAATGATGATTATAAAGTTTTGGTCTTTGTTTATTCATAGCTATGCGTAAAATCACAAAATGAAACTAAATTACAACCCAATATCCTCCAGTTTTGTACAGTTTCCATCAAGTAACATTACTGAGGCATTTTGTTTAAAATAAATAGTTCGTTCTCAGAACATATTATTAAACAATAAAACTAACACAAATCATCAGTTCTATTCACACCGATTATTTAGTTTATCCATATTTACCAAACTGAAATACCATATTAACGACAATTTTTTGTACGTCACTTTGTGGTTATGGATATGACATTAAAATCTCTACAAACTGTGTGATTTAACATGAGATAATGGTTCTCAAGTTCAAGTAGCCAAATATTATAAGAACATAAGAGGTGGATAAAAGTACTTAAGTCCTAAATAAATGAAGAAAAAAAAACATTAAAAGAAATGATGGGAGCTACATAAAAGTAAATTTATTATTAACAATGAACTCAATTAATTAATTTATATTCATTAATGATCTAGACTCTGTCATATATACTTCCTTTATTCGTCAATTATTAAATTTAGCCTAAATAAAATTTCTCAACAATCATTGAATTTCATAGGTACTGTTTGCTCATCTATTAGTGATCAATATTACACATTGATATAGAATAAGATTTTAGGTTATATTTTAGAAAACCATAGCGTTTTAGATAAAAATGTGATGATTTTCATTATGTATCAAACAAGTACAATAGAAACACTCTTCTTATTAGTTGAATATTCGTTTTCCTAGCTGGAATATGAGCAGGATGGATATCCCATAATCTGTCGTTTATGGATTATCATATAAACTTGTAGAATAATGGTCATATTGGAAGTTAGTAAACAGCACCTATTAGCTTACAGATTTCTGACTAAAAATATATGCATATCAAAGTTCTCCAAGCTGCAGTTCTAGGTCCGTTCACGTTTCCTCTATGCGTAATTGATATTCCAAGTCTGTCACGGTCAATGTCAGACTTACCATAACGTTACTCAAATAAAGAGATTAACATATGGCTTTAAAATTTTGATATATTAATCAATCGTCTGACATTTAATAAATGGCAATTAATTATGTACATTTTCAGGACCAAATGAGTAATGAGTGAAGCGTTCAGCTTCCCATATACATACAGATTTATGATACTTTATATAAAATTTTATTTCCCGAAAACTTGTTATTTTATACAAACACTTAATTGATGTCTAAAAAGGAGAGTTAGAAGTTTAAAATGCCAGTAAGCGAAGTATCAAAGTTTATTTATAGAATTCCTATGCTACCACACTTAACAGCGTCTTAACTAAATGTAATTGCATACTAACCTAGGACAGCCCACTAATAAGTTTACAACCTCAGAACTGACTACGTACCACATAACTACTGACTTTTGCATCAAGTCTTCAACACATAGGATTCTGCATTTTCCATGAGAGGTAGCATCCTAAATCAACTGAGAAATCCCACCACTAGGAAAAACATAAGTCCTATAACATCTTATTCTGATAAAATGAAGCGAAAACACCTTAAAGTGAAATGAATAACAGCCTTCAATGATATTCTGTGTATAGAAATCAATTTGCCATTTTTCAAACTAAGTTATTTACATTCCTGTGAAGAAAAAATTATACACGAAATTTAATATCTCACTCTACGTAGTGAATACAGAAATTTAGAAGTAGAAATGCAAATCAAGTCACATAAAAACAATTTTTCTGTGTATTTGCTAAAAGTGACCGATAACGATTAACAGTACAGGAAATCAAAGGAGAAATTAGTACAAACTATTTGTCTAGTATTATTCTTAGACTTTTTGGACTACACAAATCAAGGGGTGTAGAATTTTCATTGTTTTTTTGTACTTAATATTATTTAGTGAATCGTATCGAATCAAAAGTCGTACTGTCACAAAAACCGGTTCTAATATTTATTGAATCCCTATCATACTGAACATTGTCACTTCTTATTTGACTTACTGATGCATGATTTTATACGCTTTCTAATTGGTTCGCTATACGACCTTGGCTGTACCTACCCCCTACATAAATCAACGAATAAAAATGTAGATTTCCCATTTATCCTGCGGCCATTAGTACCCTATAATTTTCTTTCCACTATGATCTGTTAATTTAGTGGTGGAGTATGGAGACAATTTTATTTTTATCATATCATTATTACTTCCCTCTTTTCTAACCTAAAGCTTTAGATTACAAATTTCCCTCAGTAAAATCAGACTCACAACAAGCCTGAGGGCAGAGAAACAATAAATACAAGTGGTGTAGTCTAAGGTATTAAATGAGTTGAGAAAATTCCCACCCCCTATGGGCATTATTATCTGCCTCGGAATTGTTCTTTCATGAGAACCTATCAAATGTTTCTAATTTTAAGCAAAAGTATTTGTATTTACGTAAAAACTTGTTGTTGGCTTTATTGATTTAAATATAAACTTATTATATACAAGCTGTTTAACTGCCTTCGGCCATTCTTTGAGATCTACGAGGAATAGCCTGGTACTAACAACTGACTAGAAGAAGCTTCCATAATTTACATTGCCTCTGGGGTTCAGGATCTAAAATAGCTGCAAGCAATACCTACCGAGATTTTAGTTTACAAACTGATTAATACATGTCTTCAATTATACAGGTAAATTACACTGGTTATTTAACTGACTTAAGTAGTTGTATCTGTATTCAAAAGCGTAAAACTCACTTTATTAAGTGTTCTAACTCATAAAACATTTTGCACTGTAGTGTGTAATTTTATTAATTGTTCTTCTAGCTTGTAGTGACACAAATACTTGTAGACTTTACATGTTTGTTCTAAATCTGTGTTTAGACTGTGGTTGAGTTTCTTTGTCATGTTCTATAGTCAATATCAAGTTGGCCTTAATTAAAACAAGGCAAATTATGCATCTTCCTTTTTTTATAGTTAATTAAATAAACTAATCTGAAACAGATTTGCTTGGATGTGCTTTGAGTAACGTGTATTCATGATTTTAATTCTATCTTAAATGAAGTATAAAAACTGACTAATCCTTACTTAGTAGACATATACATTATTATAGTAGTTCTAAGCTGAAATATTATAAAATATTTCATATTAATAAGTAACTAATTATTAGACGTGTTGTTGAATAGGGATGATATTACTGATTCAATGATCATTTATTCCCGATCTCCCACAATGTCCGGAAATTCCGTCTTGCTTTGGTTGTTAGAAAGATTATCGACCTCGTGGTTTCCGAAGATTCTCGGCTTTCACCATGAGGCGTCATAATACTTCTAAATGAAGATACTTCAACTCCCAGAAGAAAGTTTAAATGGTTTAAATAATGTTTTCTGATTATCGTTTTTTAGCAAGGTTGTTTTCTACGGGATGGTGTTGCTGACCCTATGCCCAAACTTCCCCCTTTACCCACGCTTGGGACCGGCATTAATCCTAGAAGAGCAGAGTTTCATTCAATAGTACCGACCGATTATTAACAGTAGATCTTACTAATTGAACTGCGAATCTTAGGTAATGTTAAAAGAGCTGAGTTTTCATATTTGCTCAAGCTTTTTATAACAACACTTTTCTATTTCTCATCTTCATTGTGAACTCGATTGACATAGATCACTGAAATAGTGTTCGTTGTTCATGTGTTTTACATTTATTGGTTTATCTTATAAATAATCATATAATATATCAGCTTTCAAATTTAATATTATTGATTCATTATTCATCTCTGATATGATCGATTTAAGATGACAGTTAGATTGGCAATGAAACTACGGTAATTGATGTACTTTTTCCACAAGTTACAGACAGTAGGCATATTGAAATTGTCTCTTCATTGTTTTTAATAAAAGGGACCTTATTAAAATCTAAACGTGAATATTTCTTACTGTAAATTTAAACTATCAACAATTGTAGAGATATATTTACAATAATGCCTTCATGCATCTTAGAAAGTTATCATTTGTATAAAAACTAAAAGTGCTTGTATATTTGTATCATATATTTATATCATTCATATTTATATTAACATGTTACTTCTTACTTAAACAGTAAAATAATCGCTTATAATTATTTGTAACTTAGGATCAATTTTCAACAGGTATCTGTATTACTGACAATGAGACAAATTCGGATACGGATAATTCATTGACCGGTGGAAGTGGTTCTACCGGTGGTCTACATTCAGATTATCAGCCGCCATATTTTCCTCCACCGTACTATCCATCTATAACTACACCAATGATGATGATAACGACAACAACGGAGACAGCAACTAATAGTTTAGGAACAAATTTCTATCATAATAGTGGACAAAACACATCATTTATAAATGGTTCAAATAATTATTCTAGTAATTTTTATCATCCGAATTTATGTCATGATTCAAATATATTTAATCAACATTTACACACTTCTCAACATCATCATCATCACCACCAACAACAACAGTCAAGATTACATACAAACGCATCGAATTTTCCATTTTCTTCATATTTTACCACAAATCCAAATTATTATTCATCAGTTAATTATATGAATGGATCTGTATTAACTAATGAAAATTTATCATCACTGTCATCATCTTCATCTGATATGAATCATACAAATAATATGTTTGCAAATTATCCATTCAATTATTCTATACAAAGTGGTATTCAAACATGTAACACAGCAACAATAGCAGATCAGGTAATAATCTCAAATGAATTTATATGAATAATATGTTTCTTTGCGTTATTCAATAGGTTGCGAAATGAATGTTTTTTCCACAAACAAAAAAACATTCCATTCTAATCGACCTGTTATTAAATATCTTGAGGAATTGAGAAATCCCTACAATTAAGACTTCTGAAAAAAAACCCAGCTTCATAGTATTCAGTGGATGACCAGTAGACTGTCTCTGATGGTATCCGACCAACGGACATTGAGAATCTTGAGTAGACAACTGTTTATAAATATTTGTACATTTTTGAAGATGGTTGTAGTAGTTCTTCAATTTTCATCTTCATAAAGTAAAACTGTTTTGACGTTCATATTGAAGATTCTCACTTTGATATTGGTTGACAGTTGTTTTAAGTTCTATATGTACTACAGATACAGGAATGTTGTCCTTGCTTTGCCAATCCTCACTTTTATGTCGAATCTGAGAACCATATAGTAAATACTCCATTTGCAAAATATCAATCAATTGTTTCACACTTGATTGTTCCTTCATTTCTATACCAATCATTCTCCATTCAAGTTTTCTTTTCTTCGATCCTTTTAATCTTCCGCCCCCAGGTATTTCACTTTCGGTTGATGATACATACCACTTATATTTGTTGACATCAATAGCACACACCAAAGTTAAAATTACAAATATGATCAAACGGGAAAATAATTTTACATACTCTTAAATCTACTTATCGAATACTTATAAATAATTAGCACTTAGTAATTTAATTTTAACTGATTCTAGAAAAGTTGGTAGGAATGGGGATAGTAGGATGAATGATGAAACTTAGCTCTACACTATGTTTGAAATTAAACAGTAGGATACCCTGTATTAAGGTCGATTACTTGGGATATTATTCACTGAATAAGGTTTGCCCAACCCCATAAGCTTCCGCGTATCTTAGTAAAACATTAGCGGTTTTTTAGATTATAAGTTGTGCTAAAGTTTTAGTGATTATATAATAAATCTTTTTTATTCTTAATATTTATAGATTGTAAACATTCTTCCACGTTCTAAATTATCTGAAATGGTTGATCATCTAACACAAAATAACAATAATCACAGTGGATGTAATAATAATAGTAATAATAATAATAATAATAATAATAATAATAATAATAATAATAATGGTGGTGGTGGTGGTGGTAATTCTAAAACACTACATTTAAAAATCGATGATGAAGTACATGACGTGGAAACTTCAGCTACCAGTTCACAGTCTTCTTTCATACATCGTCCAAATATGCATCACTGTTCACTTATACCTGAATATGAAATGGTAGAAAAAAATTTTGGGCAATCACATCATACAACAGAATCAAACTATCAACAAGTAAGTTTTAAATCATTTATCTGTCGAACTAAAATGATATGCTAAATATATAAAAATTAATGCTGGCTCAGTAGTCTATTGGTTAAGCGCTCACACGCGCGACTGGTAGGGCGTGAGTCCGAGTCCCACAACAGGACGAAACGGCTGTCCAGTGCTTCCAGGATTTCCATGGTGGTTTAGCTTCAACTAACTCATGATCTCAACTGTTCATATTTAATTTTCATAGATATTTTAATTCAGACTATAGTTTCACTTACCATTTAAATAATTATAATAATCAATTTTAGAGTGGAACTCCTTCATCAATTGATACTACCGAATCATCTCCACACAATTCATCGCAATTTTTATCTCCAGGATCAAATAAAGGAAATTTTGAAATAGGATCTGAAATTAACAGAATGCAAATGAGTAGTACATCAACAAATGATCCTAGTAGAAATATCTATTCGTCTCCAGTATCATGTGGAATGAATACCAATGAATTAAATTTAGAAGATAAAGTAAGGAATCATGAAGAGGAGAAAAATGCTTTAAGAACATTTAATTATCCTGATATAAATTCATTAAAAAATGTATTCACCATGGGAATTACTTCAGAAATTCAAAACTTAACAGAAGGTTTTTTAAATGATCCTACAAATGTTATGCTACAAACAAACTTAACTCAAAATTTAGATCAATCTAATACTTATATGTCACATTCTCAAGGAGCAAGATTTTCAACAAGTTTTAATACTGAATGCACACAGAATGTTATTTATCAACCGACTGCTTCAGTAATACCTGAACAACCGTTTAGTCGTTTATCTGGTGGGGGAAATGGTGGAAAAAATGGATTTTGTAAAAGAGGTTAGTATATTCATTTGATGACAATGTAAAAGAAACCCATTCATAATTAATTAGCAATTTACACTTTTATTTCAATGATATTTTACCAATCAAGTTTATATATGTTCATTGGTTTAAATTATGACATCTCTCTCTATGTACTCTGTTTCATATTAGTATATTTGAGTAAAGAGTATTTGCATTATTGATGGAATCGATTAAATAATAATCCTTATATAAACTTTAAATTATTCACAATGAGTTGGTATGTTATAATTTTCATAAAAACTTATTTGTTGACGATTTATTTACATATGAGTCGAATATATTTTTTTAAATGAAAGTTAAGTATCATTGCCTAAATGATGAACTAGTATTTGTTATACAATCACTAAAAAGTCAGTGAGCACTATACCCCCGTTTCAACCTAGTGTGAGACTTTCCAATAGTACACGTTCACGAACATAACAGAGCTTAAACTAGAAATATTGAGATCTTTCAGTGTTAGCTTAACCTTCAAACTATTGAGCCGGCTCCTAGTATGTTACATCCTTAACGTCAATAATTTCACGATATTTTTGAGGTGTTCCACAATAGGACGAAACAATGTCTGTTCTCTCCGGTTCTTACTGGTTATCTAACTAAGATCAGTTCGTGACATAATCTGCTAGATCGAATAATCTCCATAAACAACTATCACAATAAAAATGGTAAAATATTTAGTTAATTTCTATCAATTCGAACTAACTAGTCATTTAAGGTTTAAAAAAAGTATTTTCATTGAGTCTACATATCAGTTATATATATACTTCTTGTAAAGTATAATTAACCACAAAGACAGATTGATATCAGAATAAATAGAACAGTATATACATAAGTAGATCATTACAAATAAATATCCAATTAATATCAAAAGGGGTTTTTGTGGATATTATAGTGGTTTCAATAGTTGAGATCATGAGTCAATTGAAGCTATATCACCATGGAGATTGAGAGATCCTGGATTCGAATCTCGCGAGGCGGTGTTATGTTGTGATGTGTGCTAATTATATTGACATAATTAGTAGATGATATTAATCGTGAACAGAAGGTCTGGCAGCAGAGTGACAAGAGAATCGAACGGTAATGAATGGAAACAGAATGCAATTTGTATGAAAATACAAAAACAATGAAGTGTGGGTCATTTTGAGACAATTGATGAACATTTTACAAATTGAACATTTACTATATGGTTGTTAGAATTTATTAACAAATTCTGTAATTTGTCCCCACTGGTGTTCTTGTTCACTACAATGGATGCACACTGTTGAAAAGTCTAACAATAAGACGAAACAGCCATCCAATACTTTCAAGATCTCCATGGTGATCTAGCTTCAACTGATTCATCATGTCAACTGTTAAAATATCCAATTCATTCCATTATTACATATTTGTACTGATTCGTGTGAATTTTTACAAATTTAACATATATAGTCTATTACATCTTGAATATACATATATATATATTCTCTATTTTGTCATGCCCTTAAGCAAAACATATGAAAATGAATAAATATTCCAATATTGTGAAAAATAGCGTTTCCATATGAAAAAATCTCTTTTTTTTCACTGTTGTTGTTATATTATACAATTAGAATGAATCTGTTAAACAGGTGGATAAATTGAATCTTAAGGGATTGACATTCTTTTTTATTTAGATTATTATAAAGTGAATTCTTTATTAAAATTATATACATATTTGTAGAAATTATAAGAATAGTAAATTCATTATGTAAATTATGTGAATAATTTTCAGCATTTTTTTTCTTTCTTTTCTTCTCTTCCTTTTTCTTCTTCTTTTTTTTAAATAAAAGGGAAATTAGCTTATGTAACACATTTGTTTGACTTTTAATCATTAAAGAAAATGAATTACAGTGTCAGAAATTTTACAAGGATAATATGTATGTGTATGTATATAGGATAAAGGGAATTCAATATATAAAGGATAAATTGTAAGAGGACATTAGTTTATTAATTATGATTGTTTATTTTATATCTTGAATTATAACTAATATAAATAAAAAAAGGTTTAAATGCGTTTTCAAACTTAAACGGGTTGTTTACATGGTTTTCTTTTTATTAAAAGTAATTTATAAGACGAAAAAATAAACCTGTTGATGATCTTAACTTAAACTTATTCTATAGAAATCTGGATGAAACATAAGTCATTTCGGATGGAAAATAAGTGATTATTTGTTGAATTTCTAAAATAATTTTATTGTTTGAGTTCTTATGTTAAGTGAGAAATCCTCTGGCGGTTCACGAATATTTATTATTTTTATTATTATTAGCTTTATTCAATATAATATTTCGTGTACAATATAGAACTATCAGCACAAAGTATTTTCAACAAGTTTCCATTTCTTATTTCTTGGTCGATCCTGACGATAAATATTAAATAATCGTCAATTAAACGTTAGTAGTTGAAAAATCGGCATCTGAATAATGCACATTCTTTTCGATGTACATTGCCAGAAACCATAATGCCTCTGATTGTGCTCTTTCCTAACTTGTACAGTGAAAGGTCGTGAACTTTTCATAAACGTACTTGAATAGGTTATGCAATTAATTGACATAATGATCTGTTGAAACAAATAAAAGACAGATAACTTGTTGAGATATCTAAACGGCAAGAACAGATAGCCCAGTTATTCAAGTAGAACCCCAATAAGTGGTCTTTTATTGATTTAACAAGACTCCTTAATAAAATGTTAAGATTTAAACAATAGTATAAAGAAAGGAAAATACTTTATAAAATTATGATTAACATATATTAATTTGACTAGTTAACTGCACGGATTATTTATTATAAACTATTATCTATTTTCAGTTTATTCTATTGCAGAATAAAGTAATAAACCAGGCATGATAATCATAAAAAAATACTTTAGTAATTTTAATTAGGACGATAATACATTAAATTCTATCATTGTGAATATACCTAACGCTTAATAAAAGTTTATTCAGTTACAGAGGAATTGAATATAGAATTTTTCATTCATATGCTCTATCTTCATTATCAATATAAATTAATTTATGTGAGAGTAATGACCTAACACGAAAAGTAGTTAATTTTACTAATAAACTAAAATAAGAAACTATTTAGAAATCTAATTAAAAACCTGTTAACTAGGTATTATAGGAAATGATTTGTTGCCACGTATAAATATACTATTCATATACTACATAGTATCTCCAGTGAGTTTGTGGTACCCTATAATTCGTATTTAAAATACAACTCACATTTCTTACAGTTCTAGAATTCAATGTTAGTAAATTAAAAATAAATATATAGGTGGTTGTTCAAAGAAATAATAACTGTAACAAATCCATTAATTACATGTTGAATTTTATAATGATAGTTACAATGATTCAGGTACGGTAACAAAAGGTAGAAATTATGAAGTAATGTTAGAGATATTGGTTGTTCTCAAAACCGTAAAAATTAGATAAAGTGGTAAAAAAATTACATTAAGTAGCGGAGAACCAGACGACAACTTACTGAGTGAGTACCACTCTATAATACATAATGATCAAGGTGAAAATAACTCCCACTCAATATTATCGTACTTTCCACAAGGTCAGTATGCCCTTGGTTCTATTGCCTGGTGGATTGTGGCTTTACACTAAGAAAAAACTCATAATAAGGCAAAAGTTGTCGTGCCTCTCCCAACTTTTACCAGTTCCCTGGTTGAGGTAAGTTAATGAGGGAGATTAACTATAAATAGCACTAATGATCAACCGAATACACGCGTTTCATCGTTAAAATCAAATGTTTCGTTTGGGTCGATTTTAACAGTATACTCACAAATTCTTGAAAAAGTCATGATTATCATTTTCTTCATTTCGCTAACTTTTGATTTCGTTTTTGTAAGTATGAATTCGCAATTTACTAGAAATGGAACAACCAGTCAAAGATTATTCCTTTAATCCGTTATGCACTAGAGTCCCGTTAGTTTATAAATGTTGTAGACAACTAAGATTACTAATGTATAAATCATAAATGTATCTCTTAGCCTGGTACACGAATTTGTATGTTGCTACCGAATTGAATTAAGCATTCACTCGCGAGAACGAAGGTCTTGAATCCGATTCCCAAGTGAGGGGTCGTAGAAACGCACTGTAAAGCCGTCTCATACTAGAATAAAACGGAAGTTCAGCGCTTTCATGTTTTAAGCAATTGCGTAGCTAAGATCAGTTAATGATCTAAACTGCAAAGAAAATAAGTAGGAACCAACTTTCAGAAAGAACCTTAACTGTAGTGGAACTTTATTATTAAGCTGTTTATGAATTTTGTAATTAAATAGCTCCAATGTGAAACAGATCATTACTGTTTGAAACTAGTAAAGCAACTCTTTGATAATAAGAAATAACGTGATGCAGATACAAAAACTGTAAATAAAGGACTAGGAGAATTTATTGAATTCATATTAATTATGAAAATGGGAGTTTAAACAACTGAATGCAACAACAGAAAAAATAGATAATTTTTGTTTTGAACGATTTTGATCAGAATAGAATTTGTGGAGATTATAATAATTTTAATAGTTGAATTCACGAGTCAATGTAAGCTAGACTACGATCGAAAACCTGGAGAAACTGGACGGTAGCCGTTACCAGTGGAGTTCAATCTGTGTCAGGTAGAGACAAGTATTTACCTCAAACAATGGATGAATGGTTGCGCAGCCATTCATAAATCAGTGGAATTTAGACAATAACACCATTGGATGACGGCACAGTGATCTACAGGTTCGGCGTTCGCGCGCGAAACCTAAGGTTCTGGGTTCGAGTCCTACAAGCGGGATCGTGAACGCACAATTTTAAAGAGTCCGGTATTGTAACGAAACGGTCATCTATTACTTCCAAGTTTTCAATGGGGTGGTCTAGCCTACATTGACTCATGAATTCAACTAGTAAATGATTTCATCCAATATTCTTTTAGTGACATAAAAATTGATTGAATGTTCAAAAATTCATTATAT